CATAATGGAGAAGTAACAGGAGGAGGGGGCACTCACCGAGTACTTCCTGCCATCTGCCAGCCACGGTGCACGGAGTGCCCTCGCCCTTAATTCTCTCTCCTGGTGAAGGAGACCTTCTCACCGACCTTGCAGAGTAGAGAGCTGAAGCTCTGAGTTCACGTGATGTACCCAGGAGCTCCCTGGGGTAGGGGACATTCACAGTCCACCTTATCTCCCCATTCTCTTTCTTCCTGCTACATGACAGACACAGTAGCAGCCGAATCAACATTTAGTAGGTTAGCTAAGGAAACAACTACCAATATTCTGTCCTAGCAAAAGTTCTCTACTATACACTGGCCTGACCACACCTTTACACAGAATTGCCCCCACCACATACACACAGACAGACACACAGACACACGTACACTGCTGTCGCTGCTTGAACTAAGAAAGTCACCTAGCCCAAGCACCATGCCATTAACTTCTTAGTGACAATCAGATTCTTTTATTTATTTATTTATTTATTTATTTATTTATTTATTTTGGAGAGATTTTTTTGCTATGGGGCGCATGTGTTTGCCAGAGAGACAGAAAGTGAGAAATCGCCCCCCCAAGGGAGATGGTCACACCACAATCCCTTCTCCTCTATTCTCCTCTTGGGATCTTGGCCATGCAAGCACACGTGCCCTGCATGAGTTTAAGCCACCGGGTCCGGGACTCAAACTGTGGTCGACTACATGGGAGCCTAGCAATACAGCCATTACGCTAACTGCTGGTCCCCAGATCCTCTCTTCTTAAGACTTTGAATAAAGAAGTGTATAAGCTGTAGTAAAGCCCTTAGTAAGCATTTCAACTCAGATGTTAGGTCAGTTGGGGGCTAGAACAGGAATCAACTATATAAGGGGTCTTCAAAAAGTTTATGGAAAATGCAGGTTATGAAAAAACTATGTGTGGATTTCAAAATGCTTTGTGCAAATATAAATTCATACTTTTTCTTTTTTAATTGGCAAACAGCATGGATTCTCATCAGAGAGAGAGAGATGCGGGTAGTAGGAAGCACCACCCAATGGAGTATGGTCACCCTGCAGTTCCTTCTCCAATTTTTCATCCTGTCATGGTTTGGGGACTGCACTCATATATGCATCATGTTTTTCAAGACTTGGAGCTGGGATTTGAACCACAGTCAGCCATGAGGGATCTGGCTTCCTCAACCAGGCTCTTACAGGGCCAGCCCTCCATCCACTTCTCTCTCCCCTCCACTTGGTCCCAGCTCCATCACCGGCTATATGTGAAGGCTCCTCCCTGGTTTCCTTATCTGGCTCTTGATCCTCTTCAACCGTCAGATGAGCTTCTAACACTCAAGCCTGTTGGGTGCACACACACACTCATACACACACAACCAGCTTCTAAAATCTTCCCAGGACTTCTTGGCTTTCCTTTTACGGTAAAATCAAAACTCATGTGCACAGTCTACAGGGGCCTGTTCATTGTACCCAGGCTAAACCCCTTTCAGTTCCTCAAAAATGTCATGCTTCTCCACCTGAAGGACTCCTGTGTGCCCTGTGCCCCTCGGTGTGGAACTCTTCCTCTACCTGGCTGACTCTACTCTCCTCCCCCGTCTCGGCTTAGATTTCATGCCCTCCATAAAGCACTATCCAAGTCCCCAACCTTCAGGCTGAGGACCCCTACATCATGGTCCCATGACCTGCACCTGACCACCCGTGGCACTTGCCAAACTTCACGGTTCTGTAACCACTTGTTCATATTATCTGTCTCCCTTATTCAACTGGGAACTCTGTGTAGGCAGGACATTGCTCTAGTGTGTCTCCAGGGCTGAGCCCACAGTACATGCTTAGTAAGTACCAGAGGGAGGAAGGTATTACTGCATCAAAGCTTTGCTCCAATGCTCATATTAGTATAGAAATCGTTTAGGCAGTCAGCTCTTCTACTCATTTTCATTATGGTTTGCACTCTGCAAGGATCTGTACAAGCCTGAAAGGGAAGGTGAGAGACAAGGAGAGAAAACAGCAATAATAAATTTATATTACTGTTGTTATTATTTGCCCACCTGAAATTTCTCCTCCCTTATCACTTGTACCAGTAGCTGATCCTCTTCCTACTCTTGACTTTCCTTGTCCCTAGGGAAAGTCCTTCCCAGCACCCTCTTGGGACATCATGCAAGTCAATCTCACAGGGTTTCCAGAAGTCCTTCCTCCCAACACTAAACACATGGTGGGTTTAGCCCTGTGGCCTTGTGGTTAAGAGAGCCAGATTCCACGTAGCTGACCATGTAGCTCCAATCCCAGCCCTGACGTCTGAAAAAAAATATGCCAGGTGCTGTATGAGCATGTCCAAATCCTGACGGGACGGGGAAATAGAAGAAAAGGGATTATGGTATGACCATGCCCATTGGGACGTGCTTTCTCTCTTTTCTTCTCTGTCTCTGTCTCTCACGAGTGCACGTACCTTCTGGCAAATTTAAGAACAAAACACAAAAAAAACTCTGGTGGGCCTGGGCCAAAAAACCTCTACTAAGTACATGCAGGAGTATATTATTCCGAGAAAAACCCGAGCTCCCAAACAGACTGAGATAGGAGACCAGAACTGGCCTGCAGGGGTCAATCAGTCTTGTGCAGAGGGATCAGAGAGGAGGACTTGGAGCCTGAAGGACAGATTGGTCAGCCATGAGTGCATCCCAGCCATGAGGTCCTCAAGAACTAGCCAGGAATAAGTCTGAAGGAAAAAATGGTAAGAGCAAGATGACATGAACAAATTTGCTTTGGACCTGGGGTCTCCATGGATGGAGACAGTGGCTGCCAATAAGAGTATTCTGGAGAAGAGGGAACCACCGCAACTCTGAAAATGGAGTGATTTATTGGAAGGTTGAGAAAGAAGTTCTGATTTAGAAGGAAGACAACCATTTGGTTTTTAGACAGAAGGGGTTAGTTGTGGCCTGGGAATTCTGAATGGAGTTTAGAGTCATAGGGTACCAGCTGCAGAGAGATGAGAGCTGGAGATGATAATATGGAGTTGACCTGTCTAGAGGCAGTGATTGCAGAATGGATGTGGGAGACTGTACAGTTTGTGCCAACTACAGGGCCCATGGGAACTCCCTCATTAAAACAAGAAGAGTGGGACCAGCAGATGGCATAATGGTTACGTCACTGGACTCCCACATAGTCAACCATGGTTCCAGTCCCAGACCTGGTGGCTTAAACTCCTGCTGGGCGCGTGCGCATGTGTGTCCAAGATTCCTGAGAGGAGAATGGAGGAGAAGGGATTGTGGCATGGCCATCCCCCCTGGGGGGTGATTTCTCACTTTCTGTCTCTCTGTCTTTCTGGCAAGAGCACATGCCCTATAGCAAAAATCTCTCTTCAAGAAAAAAAAAAGAAGAAGAAGAAAGAAGACTGGCAGGAGATGAAGAAGAAGGCAGAGATCAGAGCCCATCAGATGACAGTGTGAACATACTATCATGAAGGCCAAGGGCAGAGAGTGTTTAAGGTAGAGTTGGTTTGCGAGATTCAGAGCTGATTGTTGTGATGGCCAACCTGTGTCTGAGCCCTTGCCATAGGCTGGGCATCTTCCAAGAAGCTCTTCATCCTAGGACCGCTCTGAGATGGGGCTGCTGCTACCCTCCTGCAGCTGAGCTCACTGAGGCTCCAAGAACGCACACGGCAGACTGAGGTCATACGGTCAGTAGACGGCACAGCTAGGATTCAGCACTGTTGTCTCGGTACCCAGAGCTGGACCTTGGGAGAACGAGGGAAAGATGAAATGGTGGGGTGGGCTTGGGGAATGCCTGTTTTCTGTGACTATGGAGAGCTTACTATAAAAACACAGATATCTCTGTCGTGGAAGAGAATTGAAGTTGAAAAAGATCGAAAGCCTAGATCCTCTTCTGATGGGGGAGTAAAGGATGAGGACACAGAAAGCATGAAAGGAGCAGCCCCAGGCCTGGTGACACCCACATCCCTGCTGCTGTGTGACAGCTGCCGCTGCCTGAGCGCAGTGAGCAAGACAGGCTTTCCGAGAGCCATCTCCAGTCTCTCACTGAGAACGCAGCCCCAGGGTTGCCATTTCAGGTGCTTTCAATGGGCCAAGGAGCCAACAAGAGCCAGCAGTGCCAACATGGAGGACAGCTCATGCTCAACCTCCCAGAGACCAAGACTGAAGCTCCTACTACCCGGGAAGATGGCAGAGGTCCTGAAAGGAATGAGATGTGGGCAGACCAACTGGTTGAGAGACCCCTTGGGGCACAAGGCTAGGGCATCCATACCACCCCAGAGGCCAGAAAAGCCAACTGTGGGTGCATGAGAGTTTGCCTACACATGGGCACAATTCTGCTTCCAAACCATGAGACCTGGGACAACAGCAGTTCCTGGTGGCCTCCTTTCCTACTATAGCTTTATTTCTTCTTCTCCCCCATATTCTACTCAAGGACCAGAAAACCTTTGCCCGTCTAGAATCTTAGGAAAGGAGAAAACAGGAGAGAGAAGAGAGGAGCTCTTTACAGGAAACTGATGTGACTTGGTGCTTTATGGGAGAGAAGAACCAAATCGCCCCCGGACACTGGGACAGGCAAGGCAGCCAGGGACAAAGAGGGAAGGACACTATAGGCCACCTGGAAGAACTCTGAAGCAGACTTGGGGACTGGGGCATTACTGTGCATGAGTAGAAGGAAGTGGAGAAAGAAAGGCTATACCCTGGGCTGGAGAGATTGCTTACGGTGGGCACAAAACCCACCTGTGGGGACCTAGTGGTCTTAAGCTGGTGAGGTGGGCAACCCAAGCACATTC